GCTGGTGCAGCGGTTCTACGAGCCCACGTCCTGGCGTGTGCTCCTATAGTCCTATCTAGCAAGGACGTGCGCAAGCACAACCTGCGGGCGCTGCACGTGGTGGCGGGTGCCGTAGGAGCCGTTCCTATTCGCGGCGAGCATCCGCGACAACATCACGTACGGGGGCAACGGAGGCTTCCGTCACTCCCGTGACTTTATTTTAACAGAATGCTACTTTCAATTCACGGTTCAATTTTTCGGTGGTGTTTTACGGAGCGCCAAACTTTCGGTGATATTTTACGGAGATCGCGATCTTTAGATGCTACACAACCAATTTTCCCAATCTATAAAGATTAATACACTTGTAGAAGCACGGACTGTCTTTACGGTTCCACTGTTCACCGACAATAGCGTGATACGTTAAACTTACTATGCTGTAGAAGCGTCTTGAGCAAGCATATGTGTGCGTCCTGGACCTCATCAACTCTGATTGTAACTTTACGGCCAGTTAATGAAAGCTCTCATTACCAAAAAAAAACCCTAAAATTATTTGATTCTTCAAAAACCAAAAAATGTAATTTTTTGGGGGGACGGAGTACGTGGTGGTGACCCATGCATGTTCCGTTCTTGCACTAAAATGACTGGTAGTTCTTAACTCCTTACACCGGATGAAGCAAATTGTATGATGATAAGCAAGTTCCTATATTCTACATGCAATTACGTGGCTGCCTTTTGCTGTGCCTTTGAGTGATTTTTTTTTTTTGATAAAACGCATCTATATTAGTAGACAAGGAAAACGTACAACGACTCAGACAAATACAGATACGAACATACAGGATACAGAGACAGTTGTCCCATAAAAAATGCAAAGAAGCCCCTAGAAAAAATGGAAATTACAAGATAGTCCCTGGCCTCCTTGCACTGCAACCGCGTCGGCGAACGCCGCCGCCGACCATCTCCGACGCCGAGGACACCCGACGCCACCCAGATCTGGATCGAGGGGCCCCATCGCCAGAAGGCTTTGAAACGAGCCCCATAAGACACCCGACACCATGGTCGAGTTGAATCCATCGTTGAAGACGCATCGACCGGGGACACACCCCGAGCACCTCTGACCTTGAATCGAAGCTCGCCGTCGACTAGGGCCGAGGGAAACTTGAGCTCGATCAACCCTCCATCTAGCCGCAGAGCCCACAACTATCGCTGCCTAGCTGACGTAGTGCGCCGCCTGCACCACCACCTCACCGAGATGACATGACGACAGACCACACAGACTCCTATACAGAGGCCGGCGAAAAAGGACACCACCTCCACGAACTCATCGACGGCGCCAGAGTGGAGCACCACCGAGACGGGGAAGAGCTCGAGAGGACCTTATTCCGTCGCCTCGACGCCGCCGTCGGACACCCAAACCTAGATATACTAGGACCTAATCTACACCGCACGGCAGAGAAGCACCGATCCCCTTCACATCCAACGCCAAAGCGGCCGTTGGATGCGGAGAGGACCGGCTATCTCGCCGGCGGGAGCACATGGAAATGAGATCGCCTCCTTTTCACCTCTCTCAACTGTAGCACCGACAGAGTTCCAGAGACCCAAATTTTTACAATTTGGCCCTTTTTTGAAGAAAATTTACGTTTGGCCCCCTAGGAGACTTAAATTCATCTTTGGACCCTGGGGGTTGGCGCCGAGGTAACACGTCTTGGTGCCACAGATCTTGGCTCCAAGGTGCCTGGCCATGCATAGCAGGGCATCCTAGGTGGCGTTCACGTGGCCGGTACCTCGGCGCTAGAACACATGGCGCCGAGTTCGGCGCCACAGATCTTGGCGCTGACCTCGGGGCCATGTATTCTAGCGCCGAGCATGGATTCAAAACCCGCAGCCAAGTTTCCCTTACCGAGGCTGCTCTCATTTCTTCCTCCTCCCTCTCGGTTTCTTCCTCTCCCTAACCCGCCCAATCTCTTGAATCAACGAATTTGACCTTGGATACTTGGATTTGATCCATACATCTTCGCGAGCAAGGTATCCTCTCTCCTCTTATCAAATTTTACGCATTGATTTGGTATATATTACGTCTATTTTGCAACCCTAGATACGTTATTACCTAATGTTTGAAGTGATTTTGTATTTTTTGTATTATGTAACGGTAGGATGTCAAGGCATGGTAAAGCTAGTAAGCCAAGGTAATCTCTTATTATCGTGTTATATTATGTTTTCATTTATGTGCAACAAATAGAAAAACCCTAGGTTTAGGGTTTAATGTTCATTGCTTTCGGTTCTTAGAACAAATTTGGTTCAATTGTAGTTATGGCCGGATGACCGAAAATGCCTTCGACCCGTTGCCTCTGTCTAGTGGTGTTTTAGTGCCATGTGCTTTTGGACGATCCTTGTAAGGTAGCCAAGTCCGATGAAGAGGACACGTATAGGCAGAGGTATTGGATGTGTGCCAATTTTGCGTTTGAGCCTACACTTCGTCAGCGCCGCATTAACAAGATGGTGAGAAATTGATGTTGTTTAATATTTATTTTGTGTCAAATGAAGTTTTGCATGATTTATTTGTTTTGTAACAATTGTATTTGTTGCAGGGGGCGCAGGGCCCGAAGGCCCGCCGGCCGGCGAGAGCTCCGGCGAGCGGTGGTCGGCCGCCCTAACCTCCGAACAGCGAGGAGGAGGAGGGGAAGGGGCGACGAGGGCAGCCGGGAATGGAACGGCGACGGGGGCGCGGCGGCGGTCCGCCGGCAGACGGGGACGCCGGGGAGAAGCAGGGGCCACCCTCGCCGCCGGTGCGCGCGGAGGAGTCCCTGGGGCGACGAGGGTGGCTGAGGGAATGGATGGGGGAGAGAGGGAGGCGACCGAAGCGGGGTGGACGGCGGGCGGTGGCCTGCTGCCGGCGCAGGAGGCGCGGGCGACGGCGGTTCAGACACGACGACAACGACGGCGGTGAGAGGCAGAGAGAGAGAGAGAGAGTGCTGCTGCCGCGGGTTTTGAATCCATGCTCGGCGCCAAGATCTGTGGCGCTGACCTCGACGCTAAGATCTATGGCACCGAGCTCGGCGCCATGTGTTCTGGCACCGGCCACGTGAACGCTACTTAGGATGCTCTGCTGTGCACGGTCAGGCACCTCGGAGCCAAGATCTGTGGCGCCGAGACGTATTACCTCGGCGCCATAAGTTCTGGCGCCGACCCCAGGGTCCAAAGATGAGTTTAAGTCTTCCAGAAGGCTAAACATAAATTTTCTTCCAAAAAAAATAGCCAAATTATAAAAAATTGGGTTCCAGAGAAGGGACCTTCCCTAGTGTGCCTTTGAGTGATGCAAAGACGCGGAACGGGAATAACGGACGGAGAGCCGGAGAGCCGGAGACCGAGACCGGAGACTTGGAGTGGAGGGCCTTCGTGGTGGCCACAGGACAGGGTCCCACAAATACGCGGTGAGGTGGGGGAAAGAGGCGGACGCGTGATGCCGCGCTGGCCCCCTAGTGTGCCTTTGAGTGATGCAAAGACGCGGAACGGGGATAACGGACGGAGAGCCGGAGACCGAGACCGGAGACTTGTAGTGGAGGGTTTTCGTGGTGGCCACCGGACAGGGTCCCACAACCCAGCAAGCAGCATAACACACCCCAGTCCCCAAACATACTAGTAGCGCAGGACAACCGAATCGACGGTCGCACAGCGGCACCGGCGCACCGCGGAGGCGACACGTACGTTCTCCCCTCCCCCCACCGAGCTCCATCTGCCGGCGGGCGGCGGTCGGGCTCGGTGGCCGCACGCCGTCCCGGAGCTCCACGCGATCCAACTCGCTCGGCGGCGTTAACAACTGCGCCTCCAAGATCCAAAACCGTCCAACCGTATGTAGGTGTGTACCGCTATATATGGTTCTCAGATTAAGTCTCTAGAAGCTACAAGAAGGCCGAAGCTAGCCACGAGCATGAGCTCGCCGCCAGGTTCGTGTGCGTGGTTCTGGTTCTAGACGAGTCGACGACCCTCTTGTTGCTAGTGCAGAGCAGCGCTGCTCCTCCGTATGTACTGCATCTGTTGCTTGCCTCCTTGCGTTGGCACAAGCCCACCAACAATTCAGTCCATGTTTAGCCTAGGAGCTTTGCTGTGGTACGAGCCGCTTATTTATGGTTAGAATCATCCGTTACTTCTTATTGATCTGATTAGGAGAAAATATATAAAATATATATTTATTGAATTTTTAAATTTTGTAAAGTACACTGAATAACAAAAGTTAAAGATTTTTTTAGATCCAACTGATGTATACATGATATATTGGATGTGGTAATCTTTTTATTTTTTGTAACTTTAGATAGAACATAATTTAAACTATTTTTTTTTATTATGCATCTAACCGGCACACATGAAACTTTGGGTACATATCAGTGATACAGTGAACGTGTCCATTATAATAATAAAAAATGAACGTTCCAATAACTAACATAAATTTTATGTGCGTACATGAAATCCACATGGAGGAAAAGGAAGGATATCACACACGCTGGCTTCTGTCTCTGTCGAGGGGATTGGGCAATATATTTTTTTCTTTTCCTACGTTAATTAATTAATTAGGAAAAAAATCGAAGACTTAGATTTGTTTAATTAAGATATACCTCCTAGTATGTAAAGGGAGTACCATAGCATTGTCCGCTAGCCTATCATCTGGCTTAGCTCATTTATGTACTCGGTTCATTGTACAGCTCAACTTATAGCTCAAGTGTCCATGATAGATTTTATGTTTTGACAACCTTAATTAAGGGTTCTGATATGATGCGATGATAGATGGTAATTACTAGAGTCTACGTTTCTATGATTTATATTTATATTTATAAAGATCTTACATAAAGCCCTATGACTCAATTCAGAATCTACAAATTTGACAACCTTGATACTCCAACTATTTTTTTTTCTTTCATTAGGGCATTAATTAGGCCAGCTTGAAGCTGACAACTTCTTCAAAATTTCTGCAAGTGATGTCCACACAAGATTGAAGAGTACGTCTTGAGAGAGCGCCAGCGAGCTGAGCCATGGAGTTCGCCATGGGGGCCATTGGCTCCTTCCTCCCCAAGCTCGGCGAGCTTCTTGGCGACGAGTACACGCTTCAGAAGAGCGTGAGGAGGGACTTCGCGTATCTCCAGAGGGAGCTGCAGAGCATGCACGCTGCCCTGAGCGTGGTGGCGGCGGTGCCCCGGGAGCAGCTCCAGGAGCTGGACAGGCTTTGGGCCAGCGATGTCAGGGAGCTGTCCCAGGACATAGAGGATGTTATTGACACCTTCCTCGTTCGCATCGAGGGCCCTGCATCTGAGCCTCAGCTAGCATCTAACCCCAAATGCTTCAAGGGCCTTCTAGTGAAGATGGCAGGCCTGCTCAAGAAATTCAGGGCTCGCCATCAACTTGCCACCGCCATTAAAGACATCAAGGACCAGGTGCACGAAGTGGCCAACCGAGATGGAAGGTACAGGGGTCCTCATGGTGTGGTTGCTAGTCTAACTGCCGCTGCTACCACACGGGTCACGACCACCGTCGATCCTCGCCTGATAGCTTTGTATGGAGCCCAGAAAAACATTGTTGGCATTGCTGATGCAAAGGCTGAGGTTATGACGAAGCTCTTTGAAGGGGATGATGTATCCAGGAAACAACTCAAGATACTCTCGATCGTTGGATTTGGTGGATTGGGTAAGACAACTCTTGCTAATGCAGTTTATAGTGAGCTTTCAGGGCAATTCGATCGCAGGGCATTTGTGACAGTGTCTCGGAATCCTGATGTCAAAAAGGTCCTCAGGGATCTTCTGTATGAACTTGATAATCCAAAGTTTCGTGAATTGAGTGGAGCAACGCAGTTGGATGAAAGACAGCTCATCGATCAACTCAGAAATTCACTTCACACCATAAGGTATGGCATTTGTGTTAGATGCACACTTCTAGTGTAAGCATGTTATTTACTTTTAATTTAAATTTAAAAGTAATAGCGGTATGCAATTTAGAAACATATATAACATACCTAATAGTTATTGAATTATTTTCTATATTAGCTTATATTGATATTTAGACACATATTTGTTATAGTTTACTTATATAACACAGATGTGTGTTTTTAGACACAAATAGATGCAAATTTATGGGTTCATTTGCATTATCTTTAGTAAAACTGAGGTATATAATTTAGATGCAAATATAAGACCTTATATTAAATTATATTTCATAATAGCAGAGTAGGTAATTTAGATGCAAACTTGGGTTACTTTCAATGATATTTTAATTGGAGAGGTGGATAATTTTGATGCAAATTTAGGGAAGGGTAGATCACATATTCACACACTGTTGTATTTGTGGCCTTGCAATTCTTATACTTCGCTACTACCTTGTAGGGCTATTGGACTAAAGGAAAGCACATACTTAAAATACTAGTACTAAAATTACATCAACTTACTGGAGCAGTTATGATTATGTTATACTCTCTTTTGTTTTACGATACTGCTAAGTTTAGATTTCAAAATTTGAAATGGAATACAACTATGTTTGAGTTCCCAAACCTAATTGAATAGGTGATTGGATGAAGACAACACTCACATCAATAAATGGTATCACACACACTTCCATTTAATTAATACATGCAAGGAATACAACTATGTTTGAGTTCCCAAACCTAATTGAATAGGTGAATGCATGAAGATAACACTCTACAAATCAATAAATGGCATCACACACATTTCCATTTAATTAAGGCAGGCACCATTTCCATACATAGATCACCCACATATGCAAGGATAAGTCTAATGAAGGTCATATTAGACCTTTTACCACTCTCCTTAATTTGTCTGAGAAAGTCTAAACATGTTGTATTCTAGGAAAGCAAGAGTACCAAACAACCAGTTCATCGAAATTATGGGTTAGAGCTTTGAATGAATCAGCATCTATATTCAACATAGAATTGAAGGGAACCAATCGTCGGGCCTTTTCTATGATGTAAAATGTTTTTTTAGCTGAGCTCTAATAGCATTCTAGTTACTTATTTTGATTTGTTAAAATCACTACAAGAAAAATATTAGGATCAGAGCTAAAATTAAAATATAGTACCACTAGAATCTAATACCATTTATGTAATTAAAAGATATGATACTTCTAAATCATAACTCTAGAACTAGCTTTCCTATCCCTGGTTCATTCATGATTTCTACTTTGTTGCTTAAATTGAATTTTCAGATCTTGTGTACCTTTGCGTCCCAATGCATTATGTGCGCACCAAAAATTTAAGCAAATAAGTGTCTTCTCAGTCCTATGAAGTTTATGAAAAGCATGGCTCAACACATCTAAACATCAGAAGTGTGCAATACCGTTTGAACTTTTACATCCTTATCTAGAAAAAAGTAGAAGTTTAGTGCTATAGGTGGTAGCAATTTTCAATCTCACCAACGCAAATCCTAAACCCTTATTGTTGTATACCGAGCACTCACAATGGAGCACTATCGACAAGTTGGTTTCCTGTGTTGTAGTGATTAATTAGGATTATAATGCCTAGTCGACAGGAAACTAATCAAACTCTCATGCATATTTTCTCTAATTAAACTCAAATTGAAGTATTCTTAACAACTATATTTTAGTTTGCATTTATTTCCTTAGATCATGACACACCTAGCTAGTTGTTGATTGACTAATACCATTTTGCGTTGTATTGATATGTTGCTGGCACACCATATGGTGGTATATAGATATATTTATGGTTTACAAACTCATGGCTTTTCATGTGGATAGGTATTCCATCGTCATTGATGATCTATGGGACGTACAAGCATGGGAAACAATTAGATATGCTATGGCAGATAGTAATTGTGGAAGCAGAATAATCACTACAACACAAAATCTTGATGTCTCTAAAGTATGTCCATATCCGAAGCAAATTAAGTCATAAAGTAGCTTATTTCATAAAATAGAGTTTTTAGCGACTCTCAAACTCACAACCTAATAACTACTCTCATAGGATCTGGACATAAAGCGCAGCTGCAGAGAACTCATGGTGTCGAAAATCTATTGACCCCTCTAATTTTCTCCCCCTTTGACATCAAGTACCAAAAAAGAAGAAAAAAAAGAAAAGTCACTCGTCACTGTCGGAGTCAACGCAGGCACGTCCTGCAACGTGGGTGTGTGAAGTGAAGCGTGCTGAACGTCATGGAGGAGATGCCCCAGCTGAAGTAGAAGGACATGGCTGATCCGTCGAAGGACGCGGTCTCCTGGAATATGTGCGAAACAAGGCTGCCTGAACCTGTGGATCGGCCTCTGTAGAGTGAATCTCTACACCAAGGTTCTGCTGCCTTGGGGGCTGCTCAAAATGCTGCCCCTGTGGATACCCGTAGTACTGACTGAACGGCTCATATGAGTACCCATACTGCTGATCATCTGGCTGTTCATAATGGTGCTTATGTGGCTGATCCTGCTCCTCGTCAGAGGAGAAAGGCGAGGCAAGTTAGGAAACTGAGGTGGTGACTGCACTGGTGGAAGGGGTGGTCGCCCCGCCATCTCCCTAGCATGCCTCACTGCTTTCCTGTTTTCCATTCTATCCTCATAAGCAGTCTGTGAAGCATATGCACAATGAGCAAAGATTGCCTTCATTCATGCACTCATCTTCCCCCACTTTGACTTCTTCTTTTGTTCCCTAGCCCTGGACGGCTCAGGAATATCTCTATGTGCAGCTCCAAAAGAGTGAAAGCCTGCTGCCCCACTATCTCCATGTCCTCCAGAACAAGTGCGCTGAGTAGCTGACCCAAGTCCCCCTAAGCCACCATGGGTCTTTTTGATCTTGTAAATAGTGTGCTCACAATCCTTAGGGAACCACATGCCAGTCACTCTCTCAATCACAAACATGAGGTAATGAGCATAGGGCAAAGATCTCCTCCCATCATCCATGGCATATGCTAGCTCAACCCAAATAAACCTTGGAACATTAAACTTTTCACTACTAGGAAACCTAGACAATACATTAGTGATGTAGCCATTCAAATCTGTTGCATTGTCTTTGGGGTTAAGAGTGGTCCTAAAAAGATTGTTCATGATGTAATAGAAGCTCTTGAGCTTGGTCCTTGACCAATCAGGAACTGCAAGATTTTAATTCTCCCACATGAAGCTTACTTTCATTGGCTCAAGACGATGTTCATTATGAATCCTCTCATATCCCCTGTGGATGTGTCCAAAACCAAGAATACTACAGATGGTGACAAAATCAATGCGATAATGTCGCCCATCAGTCATCCAATGAAGCTCATCTACTTCCATGTTCCAATAGTAAGTGGCATGGAACTGTGCAAGAATCTTCCTGTTCCAATCATGCCTGAAACTCATGATATCTGTCATCTCAAAGTGGTCACAGGTCTTGATGGCTACAGCAAACCTATGATCATCCCTGCTCTCCAAGTCACTAAAATCAATATACTGCATCTTACTGATCTTGCCCTTTGGCTTAGACAGGATGGTTGTGGCATAAAAATTAGATTGGAAAGCATTCCAAAATCTATAATCAATGCCACTGGACCTGTTAGAGGAGTAAGGATCAATCTCTCTAGCTTCACCTGTCTTCTTCTAAGTCATGGAATAATCAAGAACTATATGATTGTCACTGTTTTGGGGAGGATTGAGGTTGAACCCATCAGTGTTTTCTCGCATGTAGCTGCTATCAAACTCTTAAATGTGCAGAGAAGAATCAGGCCACACACGAATGGTCATTCCCATCATCTGAATTCTTTCTTCTTCAGCAAGGTCTTCATCAAGATTTCTATCACTAGGAATATAGCTTGCCTGTCCCCTGCCTCTCTTGACCTTTTGCTTAGTTGACATCACCTTCCTTTTTTTTCGGTCCATCTATGCAATTAAATGAGACTTGATAAAAAAACTGTATAAGATAATGAGTTAGAAACAGTTGCAAGCAGCTTTTAACAAGAAAAAGAATTTTGAAAATGACACAGGAAGCTTTGCTGGATTTGGAATCAGCATGGTAGGGCGGCACTGCCGCCCCCCAAGGTCGGCACTGCCTCCCTCAGTTGCTTCACTAATTCATTTTCAAGTTTCTCGTTCTGGTTAAATTCTACTTCCAACAATGTCTATCCATCATCATAATTTCATAATCACAGTCTAAAAATAGATATATGAAACCCTAGCCATGGATTTGAAAGATTGAGTATGAAAAACTTTAGAAACAATTTTGATAAATGAATCCAATCCATTCTGAACTTCATAATTTTAATGAGATTGAGTATAGCAGTTTGAATCTGCTAGGGGTGCCATTAATGGTCCCATGGGCGGCATTGCCGCTCTTCCCAAAATCATCCAACCAGTGAAATTCAAAATCACTTCGATTTAATCATCAAAAACCTTTCTAAACCCTTCATACTTCCCCTAGAAACAAAAATCCATGACTAAAACCTTCACATTGCATAGATCAAATAGGGTTAGGCTTTTACCTTGCTTCTAAAATGATGGAATGGAGGGAGAAGAGGAGAAAGGGCTCGGCCAGGAGCTTCCTGCAGGGGGCCAGCGACGAGGAGACTTGGCCGGCTGCAGGGGCGGCACTGCCGGGGTGGTAGACCGCAAGGAACGGCGACGATGCGTGCTTGAGAGAGAAAGAGAGAGAAGCACGGGCATCGGCGTCGGCTGGGAGAGAAGGAAAGAGTTGGGTCGGGGCCAGAGAATGGAATAGATAGAAGAAAATGGGCCCCGCAACCCAGTCAAAATTGGCAGAAAACGGCCCAGTTTTCAGAGGACGGCACTGCCGGCCATTATGGGCGGCACTGTCGGCCTACCATTTTTGCAGGAATTACGCTAAAACTTTATGACCTCCTTAACCTCAGATATGGATATATATTATCTAAATATCATGACCAGTAAGCAATCAACAATACAGACAATGGTCATGACACTTAGTTGGCCTTTTGAAATGGTTTTG